ATAATTTTTAAAATATATCAGTGTTAACAATAGATTCTTCTCTTTTCTACTTTCAGTTTTAATTAATTTTTTTTTGTATATGTTATATTCATCATTATTTCAAATAAAGATTAATTATGAATACTATTGTAAAATTCAAACCTTTCCGAGACTTATTTAAGCTCGTTCGGTTGTTGTTGTTTTCTTTTTATTCTTGATGATAGAGTTGTAAGTATACAAAACAAAAAACAATAGCAACAATCAATAAATTTTTCTTGTGTGTATGTATATATAAAAAATGGATGACAAATAAATAGATCTTATTATTATTAGTATTTTGGTTTAATCTTCTTTCACTTGTGTTGTACCACGTATACGACCAGTTCGTCGAGCAGCAATAAGACCAACTTTTCTACCAGGTGGTGCATACCGACTGACTGTTGATGGTTTACCAATGTGTTGATGATTACCACCACCGAATGGATGGTCAACAGGCTAAATAAATGAAAACATTTTCATTTTCTTCTTTTTTGAAAAAAAGATCAATAAACGACTTACATTCATTGCAACACCACGAACTTTAGGCCATGATTTTCGTTTAGCTTTAAATTTATGATAAGAACGACCAGCTTTCAAAATTGGTTTATCAATACGACCACCACCAGCAACGATACCTTAAATACATATGAAAATTAATTTCAAATAAAATATGTATGCAATCAGTAAAAGCCTCTAGATATATTTTAATAATCATTTAAAATATCAGATATTATCATTCATCATTTTGCATACATTTAAATATTATTGTAAAAAAATAATATACTTACCAACCATAGCACGATTTGTTGATGCTAAAGTTTTTTTTGCACCTGATGGTAATTTAACTTTTGTTTTACCACCTTCAGGATTATGTGAAACAATTGTTGCATAATTACCTAAAATAAATTTTATATTAATTTTCAAAACAACAAAAAAATAAAATTTACCCGATGCTTTAGCTAATTTTCCACGATCACCAGTAGTTTGTTCAATTTGACAAATAATTGTACCTTCGGGCATTTGTCCTAATGGCATAACATTGCCAATTGTTAAAGCAGCTAAAGAAGATAAAAAAACAAAAATAAGAAGTTACTTATAAATGTTTTCTTTTTTACCTTTTTTTCCACAATAAATAAATTGACCGGTATACATGCCTTCGGCAGCAACTATTAATTCTTTTCGTTTTTTATAACGATATGGATCACGGAAGTGTACAACAGCAAGTGGAGCACCACGACCCGGATCATGAATAATATCCTATTTGAAATAAAATAAATATTTGAATATAAAATTTTAATGGTTTTTTTTTTGTTTCGTACTTTAACAACACCACGTAAATAACCCTGTCGTTCTGCATAGTCCAACGATCTGAATTTTGCTGGACCTTTACGATGGAAAGTACGAGCGCGAAATATAGCTGAACCACCTTTACGCTGTGCTCGAATGACTCGACCCATATT